AACTCCCTAGACTTCGGATCCATCAAATAAAATTTTCGTAGCTTTTCCTCCTTTTCTTTCCATAGGTTTATCAACCATTGACTCAAACCTTTGTCATCCTCAGGGAGCTCGCTGATCTTGATTTTTCGAACCTGAAAACAAAGCTTGCGGAAAAAAACTTTGAAAGGAAGACTGATGTTTATGACCTGATAGCGCACATCCTTCGGGCAAACACCATAAGCGGCAAAATCCACTTCTGACTGAACTATGCAATCATTATAGCCAATAGTTATATCATAGATGCTGTCAATATAATTAGCTGCAAAGAATCTGCATCATTTTGAAAACTTTAAATTTTATTCGGCTTAAACCCAAAACTAACCTCTTCTCATATTCTGAATCATGTGCACAAATCCAGTAGTGCGTGGGTGTAGCAGATATTCATAGTGTACGAATTCATTCTTTTCAGCGTATTTTCTACTTCGTTCCGTTGCCAAAGGACATTTGTCAGTTCCTTCAGGATAAAAAAGAATCTGCAAGTAGCAAGAAAATGTGCTCATAGGCTATAGGAATCGTATGTAGAATCTATGCCATCTTATAGATCTTTACAAAAACAGAAGCACTTAAGTTCTACTTGAACTTGAATTTCTCAAAATTGCGGGTGTTTTGACATAAAAATCCTGGGTAACTTCGGGTTTTGGTGGATTCAAAAAGGCTGCATTTTTGATGCTCTCTACTCACTACAGATGGAATAACTTTCCAGATATGACAGAAAGATGATGAAGTTCGGTCTATATATTTCGATTCAGACTCTTTACCAAGTTTCACTACTTTCGATTGCCTCGCAATACCTAATTTGGTGTAATTAGGCGCAACTTACCTGATAATTGAATCCACATCGTGCATAATAGTCAAGAATGTTGTTTAGTCGCGTTGCATCAGTATCGAAGGATCTATCAAGATAGATGTACGAATTGCAAGCCATTGCCCATCCTAAATCAGATTTATCTGTTAAAAAAATGCCTCTAGCTGCAAAGTTCCCATTTACAAATTCAGATTATCTCTTCCTCCACACATCATTCAAACAAGGTTTTCCACCGAAATTTGTACTTTTAGAATCTCATTAGACTTCTAATGTATCACACGATTACTATACCTTCCTTATTAGACATATCCCCTTCTTTAGCAATTTGTTCCATTTCATTGCAAAACCCACGCGATCGCATGTGCGCCCTGATACGAAGTTCCTGACCGCCGCCAATTCAAATCAATCGCGCGGGAATGTGAACGTGCGGGACAGTCGCATCACGTTCATTCGTTATCGCTCTTCTCTCTTTTCATTTTCATGCGTCTTTTTGATCCCTCATCATTCACTTTCAATTTATCTCCTTTTGATGATTCTTATCGTAAACGATCGCTCTTTTACTATGCGAAAGTAAAGAAATCTGATTTATATTGCTATATATATCACACGAATTTCGACAAGAAGTTGAATTTCAGGTATCTCCACAACAGAAATGGCGTTTAACAAGGAAGGAATGGACTATGAAAAGCACAAGGCTCTGATTCGGGAGTTCATCGACACATATTACGGAACTGATGAGAATGGACAAAAGGTAA